AGGCCGGCTAGATCAGGCATGATCACAGCCGTAACAAGTAAGTAAGTACAAGAGGTACTCTGGAGAATGGTCGAGAGCAACTAGGTCGAATTGAGGCCCAAAGAGCCCCAGAGACACCCGTCTGTTATTGCGATGTAGTGGGCAGTAGCTACCAGAGTGAAACTCTGCGAGGTGGGACAATCCTTAAAACTACTGCATCTTACTTCCTTGCAGATCTTGTCGTTTAGAAGACATACTCTAAGCCGCGGCTGATCTACCAAAGCCATCATTCTGTCTGTGTCAGTACCAAACCAGAGTCTTGTACTGATTGCCACTGCGCCTGGACAAGTATGTAGTCAATTGAACTTTTTTGCCAGGCGGCAAAATATTTCTGGAGCATGGGGTGGAGCGTAGCACAAGTGAAGAGTCCTTTACCACTCGTGCAATGGTTTCTGTCTGCGTAATGACCAACAGTTCGATTTGTAGGTGCACGGCACTTTCCTGTCCCGGCATCCCGATCGCCTCGAAGAGGGGGCGAAAATGTCTAATTCCTAATGACACCGAATCTAGTCTGATCACTCTGATTGCAACGCGGGACCAACCGAAGTTGTCAGTGACCAATGTAGTAGTGGTAGAAACGGCATCTCGGACTCCTTTTTTGTGCGAGTCGGTTTTGTAACTTTTATTTTAGTGACAGAACGCAAGCTGCATTGAATATTGTAGTTATAGTGCTTTCGTCAATCAGTTGTTGAATGTTACTTATTTTGTTTCACATGTGCGCAATTCTATGCGCTTGTTTTTGTTTCCCTCAAGCCATGTCTCCTTCGTCGACTGCCCCGGCCACGACATTCTCATGGCGACAATGCTAAACGGTGCAGCGGTCATGGATGCTGCCCTTCTTCTGATTGCCAGCAATGAGCCTTGCCCACAGCCCCAGACAAGCGAGCACCTCGCCGCAGTCGAGATCATGCGTTTGAACACCATTATAATCCTGCAAAATAAGATCGACCTCATAAAGGAGGCCACTGCACACGACCAGTATGAACAGGTATGGGTGACCATTTACACTGACTACGTCGTCAGGATTAGGAAACTTTAACGTACAGAAATTTATACCACGTTTATTATTCTAGATTGTGAACTTCACTAAGGGTAGCGTTGCTGAGAACGCGCCTATTATCCCTATTTCGGCCCAGCTGAAGTACAACATTGATGTTGTCTGTGACTACATCGTGAATAGCATTCCGGTACCAGTACGCGACTTCACCTCGGATCCCCGTCTGATTGGTACGCTCTTAGATGCGCTTTCAAATATCTCATTAGCGAGCCTCTTTTTCTGTTTTTGCTTTAATTTATAAGACTAGAATCACAAATTTTCAATCGTTTCCATATTCCGTATTGCTGTTAATAACCTAGATGAAATTCTGTGGGAAAAATGAGTTGTATATTTCTCAATTACTCAGTTATAAGGGACAAGGTATTCATGCAGGGGCGAGTAAGCCATCTTGCATATTTTACGGGTCCGAGCGTTTTTTACCGAAACTTGTTACTACTATAATCATCATTCCTTTTCGTTTTCATCAATAGTATAAGATATCTTACATTTGTGACCATCACCAAGATTTTCGTTGTCTTTTCATTTAACGGAATACTAACAGAACAGCGCGGTTTTGATTTTCCTAAAATTGCCTCAGTTATGCCTGCACACCCGTCTTGAGATGGGTCGATTTGACCAATTAGTGTATTAAAGCGGTAACAAATGGCCAGACCTATTATTACATAAGCACCCAACTTGCAACTTCGAACATTGCCTGACGACCGTTTTCCTCTCATTCATTTCAAACACATCCCCATCTATGTATGTGGATATTTCCGGCTGACAACGGCTATTAGAGCAGACGTGACCATTCCAGTTTCTCTTGTCTTCGTCGGAATTCCGTTTCCATATGCGACAGGTTTTGGTGAGGTCCACCTTGTGCCCCCCACAGCAAGGTGGCCCGGGAAAAATAACTTGCACATAAGTTAGTTTGAAGTGATGGCTGACTTGTACAGTATCTGCGGCCCCCTTCTGCATTACCCACCTGAGCCCATTGATAAGCCGGTCAAGACAACCGTGGCGGGCATAGGGCGCAGTGCGGAGCACGCATTTTTGGCTCACCGTGATAGCTTCAAACGCATCTCAGACTGTTGATAGTGGGGAAATGCGCTGAGCCGTCTACCTCACGCTCTGTTCCCCATTCCCAGGCCCTAGCCATTATCCGAACTGGTCAGTTGGCTGGTGCATGGAATGGATGCGGCGGCTGATGACCTCGTTTGCACATGCCATATACAAACTCTGCACCCTCCTCTCCAACCCAGGCACCAGGATTTCACACAAAAGAGAGTGGGTGGCATGGATCTCACTTAGGTGAG